GGAGACAGTCTCACTCTGCCACCCTGGGTAGAGTGCTGTGACATCATACCTCACTTCAACCTCAAACTCTTGGGCTCAAGCAGTCCTCTTGCCTCAGCCTCCCCAGTAGCTGGGACCACAGGAGCCCACCACAACACCTGGATATTTTTTCTATTTTTAGTAGAGTTGGGGTTTGGCTCCCAACTGGGGATATTAATGCATCTCTAATCCTGCCATATGTTTGGTCAGAGTGTCGTCTCCCCCACATCTTCTTAGCATCTATTCCATACCTTACTACTTTTTACTTACTGCTTGCTTCCCACTGTGGTCTTTCCCTTTACCTCTCCATGTGCTCTTGGCCTATGATTACTTCTTCATGGAAAAAATGAGAGTTATTGGCTATCAGTCCTATGAACTGCCTGCATCTGCAACCATATTTTCTTTCTGAGCGTGGAAGAAATGTTCTCGCTCTTCTCTGAACCAAAAATTTATTCTTTCTGCTTCTGCTGTGATCCCAAGTTCTTCTACCCTCTCAGGGTCTTTCTTGATTATTCCTTCTTCATCCTTAAGATGTCTCTCCATTGACTTACTTTTTTTTTCTACATTTAAATATGATTGTGTCTTTAAAAAAGCCAAAACTCCTATGAACTTCCCTTCCCAGCTTTTCTTTTCAATGAAACTTCTTTATAGGATCATACTCACTCTTTGTTTCTTCACTTCCTATGTTCTAGTCCCCTCCATTCATTCTAGCCTGTACCCCAACATTTCATTACAAACTACTACTGCTTCCTAACATAGGGTGGGCATACTTCAGACCCAGCTTTGCTTGAGTTTGTAGTATTGTTCAACACCACTGAACTTTCTTGATTTGCTCTGTTCCTTTGGCTTCATTTTCATCTTGCTCTCCTAGTATTACTCTTTCTCAGCCTCCTTGGTGGGATTCTCTTTGTGTCATAAAGCCCTGTCTTAACTTTATTGTACCCTTAGGTGATCCCAACTTTTTTTTTTTGGAGACAGTCTCACTCTGTCACCCTCGGTAGAGAGCCGTGGTGTCACAGCTTATAGCAACCTCAAACTCTTGGGCTTAAGTGATTCTTTTGCCTGAGCCTTCCAGATAGCTGGGAATACAGGCACCCACCACAACATCCGGCTATTTTTGTTGTTGTTGTTGCAGTTGTCATTATTTAGCAGTCCCAGGCTGGGTTCAAATCCACCAGCCCCTGTGTATGTGGCCGATACCCTAACCACAGTGCATCGCTTGGTTGGAGTGCCAAGCCAATCCCAACTATTTTTATAGTATGAGAACTTTTGAACTATTATGTTTAGCATTTTTGCTGAACTCCAGGCACATAAGTATCAAAGACACCTCAAACTTTAACATATCCAGAATTGATTTTTCTATCTTGCTTCTCCTCTTCTGTTCCTGGGATGAATAGTAACCATAGCATCCACACAACTGTCTAGCCCGGGATTCTGGGGGTCATCCTTGGTTCTTCCTTCCTTCCCCTCAGACATCTAGCTAGTCATAAAGTATTATCAATGTGACTCTTTAATATCTGTCAAATCTACTTACTTTTTACACCCTCACTGCTGCTGCCATAGTCCAAGCCAAGCTCTTGATGCAAATTCAGTCCACTGCCTCTTTTTGTAAATTAAGTTCTTTTGGAATGATCCACACTCATTCATTGATGTAATATCCATGGCAGCTCTCGCACACTGTGACGGCAGAGTGGAACAGTCACAGCAAAACTGTATGACCCAAAAGCCTAACTGATTTACTGTCTGGTCTGTTGTAGGAAAAGATTGCCGACTTCTGCTTTAGGTACTAGTTTGAGACTCACACTAGTTTAGGTGATCTGCTCTGTGCTTTTAGCATCAAAAATGTTTTTTCACACTTGTATAATTTCCCTACTTGACGAAAAGCTCTTTGAAAACTGAGGCCATGTTGGTCTTGCTCATTTATGTCCCCAGCTCTTAGTTCCTAGCATATATTAGGCATTCACAAATATTTGCATGAATAAAAGTACTTTTGTGGAAGCATTTGATTAGATGAAAATTCCCAAACCATTAATTTTATGTCTTTTAATAGTTTAATTTTTTCTTAAATATAAACTTTGTTTTTTAGAGGTAAACAAGAAATTGAAAATTTGAAGGAAGAAGTGGAAAGTCTTAATTCTTTGATTAATGACCTACAAAAAGACATCGAAGGCAGTAGGAAAAGAGAATCTGAGCTACTACTATTTACAGAAAAGCTCACTAGTAAGAATGCACAGCTTCAGTCTGAATCTAATTCTTTGCAGTCACAGTTTGATAAACTTTCCTGTAGTGAAAGTCAGTTACAAAGCCAATGTGAACAAATGAAACAGACAAATACTAACTTGGTAAGTATAAATGTGCATTTAACTTTCAAAGCAGCATAGTAAGAAGCACAAATTAATTTACCTAATAATATAAATAATCACTAATATAAAAGTGATCCCAGTTGATTTCAAGCTCTTTTCTGTGGGTACTAACATTCTGGTAATTTCAGATGCTATAAGGAACTTTGGTTTTGGCCAGGTGCAGTGGCTTATGCCTGTAATCCTAACACTCTGGCATACCAAAGTAGGAAGATCACTTGAGATCAGAAGTTCAAGATCAGCCTGAGCAACCAAGACTCATCTCTAATAAAAATAGAAAAATTAGTAGTCCCAGCTGCTCAGGTTGCTGAGGCAGGAAGATTGCTCTAGCCCAGGAGTTTGAAGTTGCTATGAGCTAGACTAAGGCGATGGTACTCTAGTCTGGGTGACAGACTGAGACTCTGGGGAGAAAAAAAAGTTTTGTCCTTTAACTGCTGTAATTCATAATAAAATTTCTTCCTAAAGTAATGATGAAGACTATTTCACTTTCAAAACAAGAAAACCACAATTTATGTCATCCCTAATTGGAATCAGTTCATATTTTTTATAGCTTAAAAATGGTTTAATATTTTCAAGTTATGTGTTGTATGAAAGGAGAGAAGGTTAGCACTCCCCTTGACAAGGATGGAAGAGGCCCTCAGGCCTGACAACACGCATACGGTTAAGGCATTGCCACCTACTTCAGGGCATCTAACCATCGTTTTTTCGCAAGAATGTAAGAAAAAGTATCCAATGTACTCAGCCCTACTATGAAACTAATTTATAGCTTTCATATGAAAGCTATAACCCAATTTCAGCCCAAGAATATAGGGAAAGGGGAGCAGGAGGGGAGGGGAGGGGGGAGAATGGGTGGAGGGAGGGTGATTGGTGGAACCACACTTATGGTCCATCTTACAAGGGTACATGTGAATCTTTCTAAATGTAGAATATAAATGTCTTAACACAATAACTAAGAGGATGCCATGAAGGCTATGCTAACCAGTTTGGTGGAAGTATTTTAAATTGTATATAAAACCAGCACACTGTACCCCGTGACTACATTAATGTACACAGCTATGATTTAATAAAATAAATGTTTTCAAGTTATGAGGGTATCTTCAAGTTACTCATAGAAGTAATTTGAGCCTTTAGCCCCAAAATTCAGAGATCCCTATCACATGTTGTTTTGCATGTGTAGAATTTGCTATATAAGGAATTTGAGGAATTCAATAAAGAAAATGTGGTGAGAAATAATACCATCAAGGATTATGTTAACCAGTTTGATGAAAATATTTCAAATTGTATATAAAACCAGCACATTGTACCCCATGATTGCAGCTATGATTTAAAAAAAAAAAAGGACTTTTATTTTTAAAGTTTTAAAGTGTGAGCTTTAACAGAAACAAACATATTAAAATTGGTGGTTTTGTTTGATTTAAAATTTAGGAAAGTAAATTGTTGAAAGAGGAGGAGCTACGAAAAGAAGAAGTTCAAACTTTGCAAGCTGAACTTACTTGTAGGCAAACAGAAATTACAGCGCTGAGTACCCAGGTAGAAGAATTAAAAGATGAGTTAGTAACTCAAAGACGTAAACACGCCTCTAGTATCAAGGATCTTACCAAACAGCTTCAGCAAGGTATAACCTTCTTTAGTACTTGGACCTTGAATGGGTTTTGTTTCCTTTAATCATTAAGAATTTTTTGGAAAAATTATATTTTACATTAGATTCTATCACATTTATGTGCACAAACCAAATTGCTAACCTTCTTACAATTCCATTAAAAGTCTGACTTCCTTGCTAAAGGATGTTTATTCAGACTCATAAAGTTTGAGAATTAGGGAATTATTTTAGGAAAGTAGTATCTAAACTTTCGTGATCACATACTCCCAGTAATAAAAATCTATTTAAGCATTTGTCCTCCAAATTATAAATGTTTACTTATAAATTTTAAACATGTATTACTCTTGCACGGTATATGCATTAGAAAAAATCAAAGATAGAATTTTAAAAAGCTCTATATTTAAATATAAGTATAAATAGCAGTTCCAATATCTTCTTTTTTCACATGCCAGTGAATTGTTCTGTGCGGCATCTTGGGTACCTGCACTCTAGATGCAGGGCTCTTAGAGACTGTCCAGAACTACCCTTCAAGTAGGTTTGGGGAAACAGACCTCAAAAGGTTGTAAAGTACCCAGACACAATTGACAACTAAAACTATAACCCACATTTCTTTCGTTTAAAAATTTATATGATTATTGGGTATCTTGTGTTATATGCTTAGGATACAAAGCATAAAATTAAGATATGTCTTCCAACTTCCTATTCTTTATTCTTCCCTACTGTTTTATCTGTGTTTAAAGTAGAGTAAAACATAGTAATGATATAAAAGAGACTTTGTATTTACTTCATATGAAGATAATTCAGATATTTGCCATTAAATTTAGTTTGTTTCTCAAGATGTAATTATAGAGAAATGGGGGAGAAATTTCTAGTACTATATAAGGACACTAAAAGTTAAGTGCGATGTAATTAAGTGATTCTGGTACCAGTTACCATGGTTTTATTTGTATATATTTTGTATTTGACCTATATAGTTCCAGATGTCATTTTATATGAATGTTACCTACAGACCTATATCTAAAGTGTGTGTTCAATAACTTACTCTTACCTATGCCGTTTTTGCCTAGATGATTTTAGCAATTAAAATCAGAGATGACGTGGGCAAATGATCATGATAATTTTCACAAGTGATCCATTTCTTTTTCCTATAGCAAGAAGAAAATTAGATCAAATTGAGAATGGAAATTATGATAAAGAAGTCAGCAGCATGGGAAGTCGTTCTAGTTCATCTGGTAAAAAACGAATGGCTTTAGTTGTTTAGTGATTGATTATAAACATACGTTGCATTTTTTATTTTAAAAAGTATTGATATGCTTTGTTCCATTTGAAGTATTATAAATGGGGGTTACGCCTCAGTGCCTGTAGCTCAGGCGGCTAGGATGCTAGCCACTACACTAGAGCTGGCAGGTTCAAATCCAGTCCAGGCCAAAAAATAGCTGGGCACTGTGGCAAGTGCCTATAGTCCCAGCCAGTTGGGAGGCTGAGGCAAGAGAATAGCTTGGGCCCAGGAGTTTGAGGTTGCCGTGAGCTATGATGCCACAGCACTCTACCCAGGGCGACAGAGTGAGACTCTCATTAAAAAAAAAAAAAAAAATGGGGGTTACCTGTAACATTTTGTAAATAATGTCTGATTTGCTATTTAATTCTATGAACCACCCAGGATTGCAGCCTTATTACAGGGTTCTGTTTGCCCCGTCTCCCCACCTTCTTTTTTCTTACCTACTACTGCTTTATTTTGTGCCACAGTGTACATTTTCTTTAAATTTCTATCCATCCATATAGAGAGATTTGGTGTAGTCTGCTGTCTTTTACTTGTATATTACTTTTACTACCTGAGAACTAATAAAATGATCATCATTCTATATCAAATTTATATACAAGGTGGCCATAAAGTTTGTGTACAATTTAATTGTGTTTAAGTACATGTATGAGATCAGACAATTAAGTTTGCAAACTAATCTTGGAAAAAGGATTACATACTTGGGTGGCGCCTGTGGCTCGGTGAGTAGGGCACCAGCCCCGTATATGGAGGGTGGCGGGTTCGAACCTGACTCCAGCCAGACTACAACAGAAAAATAGCCAGGCATTATGGCAGGCACCTGTAGTCCCAGCTACTCAGAGGCTGAGGCAAGAGAATCACCTAAGCCTAGGAGTTGGAGGTTGTTATGAGCTGTGATGCTATGGCACTCTACTGAGGGCGATAAAGTGAGACTCTCTTAAAAAAAAAAAAAAAAAGAAAGAAAAGGCTCCATACTTCATTACTGAATGTCGCTATGATCACCTTCAAAGTTCTCTCTCTCTGGGAAGCTAAGCACCAATGTCAGTGCCTCGTCCACCTTTCAAAGCACTTTTTCTAGGAAGAGTTCACGAACTTCATTGTCAGACCTCATATGACAAAAGCTCTAATGGCCATTTCGGCAAAGTGTTTCAGAATTGCTTTGAAGGGTGGACTAGGCACTGGCATCAGTGCAGAGCTTCCCAGGGGGAGTGCTTTGGAGGTGATGTGACATTCAGCCATGAGGTATATAATAACACTTTTTCTAGGATAAGTTTGTGAACTTAATTGTCTAACCATATGTATTTTTTAATCTTTGGCTTTTCTCATGATAGATATGCCTGTGGTCTAAAGTAAAATGTATATACTATAAAATCAATTAATGCTATTGTAAAAGTGATAATTGGCAAAGTATTAGCGTAGTCATACCAAGTTTTGAAATACCAGGAACGTATCATTTACTCTGCAGAACAGTAATGCAAGTTAAGTATTATAATTTCCATTTTTAAATGAGGACACCAAGATTCAGAGAGGTTACGGGATTTGCCCAAAATCTGCAATGACAGAATTCTCCAACTAGAGTCCTTGCTTGCCACGACACTTTACTGCCTCCAAAAGTTGCACATTAAGGGAAAAAACATCACAACTGTTACAATAGTGGGGGAAAAATGTGTAGGAGAAAGACCGTGGATTTGAAATTACAGATAGGTATTTAGATCCCAGCTTAGCCATTTATTAGTTGTATAACATTGGATAAGATACTTTACTTGCCTTTAATCTACAAAATGGAGTTGGAAAAAAAACATATCTTTGTAAAGAGGATCAGAAATTCTTCTCACCAAAGTATGGGTAAAAATAATGCCTGACAATTACCTAGTGCTTACTGTATACACTGTTCTAAGTGCTGTACACATTCTAACTTACTCAAATGAGGATAACAGTCCTGTGAGGTGAGTAATGTTATTATTCCTGTTTTAAGAAGAAGTAAAGGCACAGAGTATTAAATAACTAGTCCAGAGTCACGTAACCAGTAAGTGGAGAAGGAGGATTTGAATGCAGGTTGGCTGAAGCCAGAGCTTAACCCTCCATGTTCTGTCCTCTCTCTCATATACTGCCCTTCCCCCTCACTCTCTATGCTTTTTCCTATTCTCTCATATTTAATAGTTAAATTTTAGTATCAATGTAGACTTTTTATTCTGACTTACGAGGAAAACGTATTTCAGTTATCAGTATATTCAGAAACAAGAACTCAGACTGCATATGATCTGTGTTGTATTCTGTGTCCAGCACTGTTAGGGCGAATGTTTGAAAGTGATGCTGGAATAAATAATATATGAGAGAGGATTCTAAACTAAACATGATATCTAAACTACCTTCTTTTTCTTCAGGGTCCCTTAATGCTCGAAGCAGTGCAGAAGATAGATCTCCAGAAAATACCAGGTCATCAGTAGCTGTGGATAACTTTCCAGAAGTAGACAAGGCCATGTTGATTGAGAGGATAGTTAGGCTGCAGAAAGCACATGCCCGGAAAAATGAAAAGATAGAATTTATGGAAGACCATATCAAACAATTGGTGGAAGAAATTAGGAAAAAAACAAAGTATGTATTATTATGGTAGCATAGTCTGTATTTAAAATACTGTTATCCGTATGTTAAAGTTACTGTTTTCAAAATTAATCATATCAAAAGCCTACTTTTCAAAAAATCTTATTTAGTCATTTGGTTCCCAGTCTTTTGTGATTACTATTGTGTTGCAGGTTTAGGGAATATAGAGATGAAGGAAAACTGTCACCTTGAAGGGCTTTCCTCCAAGGTATAGAGAGTTCAAAAGGTATTTTTTAAAGATACTAAACTGACTTTGAATTAAGAAAAGATAGTGCTTTACCTTTTTTCTATTTCCCTGAGACAGAGTCTTACTTTGTCACCCACGGTAGGGTGCTGCGGCAGCACAGCTCACCACAACCTCCAACTCTTGGGCTTAAGCGATTCTCTTGCCTCAGCTTCCCAAGTAGCTAAGAGTACAGCACCTGCCACAATGCCCGGCTTTTTTCTTTTTTTTAAAGAGATGAGGTCTTGCTCTGACTCAGGCTGGTCTCCAATTCCTGAGCTCAGGCAATCCACCCACCTCGGCCTTCCAGAGTGCTAGGATTCAGGTATGAGCCGCCAGGCCTGGTCATGCTCTACTTTTTATTTTAGTGCCACAGCACCAAGAGATTTATATGGAGTTGTAGGCCACAGTCAACTGTGTACCTTCTAGTACCAGGCACAATGCATGTAGTATAGAATAGCTCATTGATTCCTTACAACTATTCAGAGAGTGCGTTCTCTGATTTACAGAGACGTTAACTAGGGTTCAGGTTAAATCACTAAATGATCCAGGATTACCACTCATCCTGTAAGGGATGGAGCTGGAGACCCAGACACTGCTCTGACTGAATCTAGAGCTGTGCTGTGCCAATTTCCCCTCACAAAAACTGTGTTAATATAAATAAGAGTAGTGGTTTTATATTGCAGGTCTTTTTCCCTGACTTTTCCCCCCTCTGTATGTGGCTTTTATTTATTAATACAATATAGCATCAATGCTGAGTAGCGTGATTACGTGCAGTACGTAAATGTGAACTATCTGTACACATCTACAGGTCTAACTCAGAACTAAAGTACATAAAAGTAAAACTGAATGCTTGGAAGAATAAAAGTAAAAACTAGAACTGAACACTGCAATAATCAGAAGTGGAGCCTCATGTACATACTTAACTATTTACAGGTAAAAAGAGGCATCACCACCACACTAATCTAACTGTACTCATTTATATATAAAACATATTCATCACACAAAACCTTCCATTATAATATCGGAGTGATATTGCCAGATAAGCATCAGTGCAATGTTGTGTCTTCTCTAATTCTTACTGTACAATGCTGTATATAATGCAGCCCATGCAGTATACCCAGAACACCAGAGACCTACACCCAAGTATATTTAATATGGTAAGGCAGACTTTTTGATTTTTAGTTTGAAATAATTTTAGACTTACAAAAAAATTTGCCTATGGCTTTTCAAAGAGTAAAATACAGAGTTCTAAGTTTAATAATAGGAAAATAGAGAATATTAACAGAAATTAGAACAATAAAGAAACTGCTCACATATTTTGATTAAAGTAATAAGGATAGAAATAGAAAAGCAGTGTTTTTGTATCTTTAAGTGCCATGATAGAACAAAAATGGGATGGTTTAATAAAAACCCAGCAAAATTCCTTTTCTTTCTAATACATTGGTTATTAATCTAATATTTATTTCATGCTAATCTTTATGCTTACAATTAGTTGACTCTTGTAAATTCCAGTGTTTATAATTGGCAGGTATACTACTGATAATGTCATTTTGTTTTACAGAATAATTCAGAGTTACATTTTACGGGAAGAATCAGGCACACTTTCTTCAGAGGCATCCGATTATAACAAAGTCCATTTAAGTAGACGGGGTGGCATTATGGCATCTTTATATACATCCCATCCAGCTGATAGTGGATTAACATTGGAACTCTCCCTGGAGATCAACCGAAAATTACAGGCTGTTTTGGAGGATACATTACTAAAAAATATTACTTTGAAGGTATCTGTATTTGTCATTCACTTACCAACCAATAAACATGGCAAAATGGTGCCTGTATCATAGTCTGAGTTAGCTCTTAAAAGGGCTATTTCTATATTACCCTGAAATAATGTTTTAGTATTTTCCATGTTTTACCCTGAAATAATGTTTTAGTATTTTTCTCTCTGTCACCTAGGCTGGAGTGCAGTGGTCTAATTACAGCTCACTGTAACCTCCAGTTCTTGAGCTCAAGCAATCATCCCACCTCAGCCTCTTATGTGGCTATGACTGTATGTTTGTAGCACCATGCCCAGCTGTTTTGTATTTTTGTAAAGACAGTCTTGCTTTGTTACCCAGGCAGGTCTCAAACTCCTGAGCTCAAGCAATCCTCCTGCCTTGGTCTCTCAAAGCACTGAGACTATAGGTGTGAGCTGCTATACCTGGCCTAAAAATAATTTTTTAAGCTAGAGAGAAAAGATGATGAAATAGCAAAATTAGGTTAGCCATTTGACACCAAGATGAGTTGGGTACTTGCATTGGATGGCCTTTGACCTATACTTGGTTAGAATTAATTCCTGAAACACAATTTTTTAAGATTATAGCTTTTTTTTTTTTTTTTGCAGTTTTTGGCCAGGGCTGGGTTTGAACCCGCCACCTCTGGCATATGGGGCTGGCATCCTACTCCTTTGAGCCACAGGTACTGCCTAGATTATAGCATTTTTAATGTATTTTCTAGCTTTATTTTTTGCAGTTATTATCTGCCCCAACTATTTTATTTTTCCTGTGTTTGGGCCTTGATAATTAGTAATGGTTTTAAAAAATGATTTTTAAATCTAGTAAGCAATCATTTTATGTACTCAAAATTAATGGAAGATTGAGTGTGACTTTGAAAGGAACAGAACTGCTTTACTAAAACTGTGTGTGCTTAGTTAATCTCACGTGGCATTTGGGACTATTTCAGTTTCAAAATTTAGGCAGAAATAGTTCAAACAGAGTCTTTTTATTTATTATTTGTTATAATTGGTACTTCTGTTTTTCTCTTCCCTTTCTTCTTCAATTTTTAAAGGAAAATCTGCAAACACTTGGAACAGAAATAGAACGTCTTATTAAGCACCAGCATGAACTAGAACAGAGGATAGAGAAGACCTAACACAAAGCTCTTGCTCAGTGAACAGACAAAAGCCACACCAGAGCGGGTGCCACTCACAGTATTGTTGGGAACTTTTCCCTGCTTTGTGTGTTAGCCAGTAAACTTGTTTCGCTTCGTCTGTACAAAAAAAGTATCCTTTTACAATATGAATGCATTGCTGTATATACTGTAAGAGTGTAAGCTTTGATGAAAATTGGTTTTGTACAGTATAATAGCCTGCCATTGATTCTAAACTACTTAATTTGCTCATAGTCATATGAAGTGTTGAACATTACTAAAGGGCTTTTTAAAAAACCCTTGTCCATATTTCTTCTTTTTAAAATATAGAATGTCAAAAATGATTCAAGTTTTTGAAAGTATGCATGAAAAGACAGGTGTTAATCATTCAGTACTATGCTATTTCTCCAATATCGACAAATAAAGAAATAATAAAAATTTGTGTTTTGACATTCCACTATAACATTTGGTTGTATTTTAGGGATACGTAAGATTATTTAAATCTTTTAATTTCAATTTTAATGAAAATCGGACTTAACTAGGAAAGCTAGCGATTGGTAACTAGCAGTGATTAGGCATTATATGCCTTGGTCAGGAATATATTTTCTTACCTGTGTTAGGTACATTGTTTTCAGATTCAGATTGAGTTATTAGTTGAATTTTTTTAATCTCTAGTTATTTATAATATGATTTTAGTAACATGCTTATTTAGAAAATTCCTGTGGGCTTCCAGTTGTATCTTAAAATGTGAAGCGTAACTAATCATTAGAACAGAGAGATGAATAATTCTTTGAAAGTGAAGTCTTCAGCTTTATTGACATTGTGCATAAATAAATGTAATAGTGTTTAAGATATTTATAAAGATCCAGTTCCCAAGAAAAATCAGTATATGGCACTATGAATCATTTCAGTTGAGCACCATTCTTTACTATTGATATAATTAACTATGTAATAGAGTGAAGTAATCATACAGTTCCCCTAAATGTAATGTTTTGCTGTATTTATTTAAAACACAAAATAATTATATCTCTGTAACCAAAGGAATTTTAGAGCCAAATTTTTGTATCTTGTTGGATTTTTGCAATATTTATTTAAGATGTACACTTCAGTGTTGGCAGCCATAGTATTTTTATGTCATTGAAATTTTTCTCACCTTTTATAATTTCTCACTTTAGTTCCTGAGTATGATATTTCATATTTCATTACATTCAGAGAATTACTTTAATAAGTTACCTTGTCTGCATACACATGGTACAGCAATTCTCATTTTTTTCCTCCCCTTAAAGGAATTAATCTTTAGGATGATAGATTAAAAGCCCTTAAAGAATTATATGGGCTCTTAAAGTCAAATTCATGGTAGCAGTGTCCTTTTAATGTGTTTTAACCTTTTTTTAACAACATTGTTTTCAAAGATAATTTCCTAGGGATGAGGCACTCTAATGTAGTGGTTTTTTTTTTTTTTTTTTTTGTATTTAGAGTCAGATGTTGTCATCCAAAAAGAAATGCCATTTTTTTCACTTCAAAATGAAAATAACACATGTGCATATTTTTAAAATAGTTGTGAAAAGTACTAGTACTACCACAGTGCATCTTGCTCTTTTTACAAATAATTTATCAAAATAAAATGAGAGGGAAAGTGTAACCAGAATCATTTTTCCACTTGTTTCTAACATCCTACTGATACTCCTAATGTAGGGAACATAACTGAATTTTTCTGCTTCTCATATGATACAGATTGATAAACTACAATTTTTTTTCTTGAGACACAAAGTGTATAATGGAGACCAAGTAGATCAGATTAATAGTGTCCTGTTCCTTTATACTTTAAATTAAATATATACATTTACTACAGACACAAACAGGACATTTCAGTATTAATGTTTGTGCCACCATTTACTTTAAGAGCTTTAATAGTGAGCCAATTTTAGAAGAAAATTGCTATAAACCATATATTGGCTATGTTACCATTTTCTCCATAAATGTAAGAAACTATGAAGAAAATGCCTCATTTCCCTTTTGCTGAGTATCTACCATATCTTTTTGTGTGTGGATCAGTACTGAGCAAAGTAAAATGAGCGTATATCAGATACCTGTCTAGACTGATTCACAAACAGCTCCTGATGGGGGAGGCTCTCGAGGGCCTCCTGCCTGTTACTGTATTGAAGATGTAGAGCAAAGAAAGGTATGTGTGGAAAAGGAAGACTGGTCTGGATAAATCTGCAGTCTCCGGAGAAGTTTTATGTTTATTATTATACACATTACAGGTTATTCTGATTAGTTAGCAACCTTTTGGTATCTTTGAGCAGGAAATTATTTGTGTGTGTGTATAATAGTGAGCCAATTTTAGAAGAAAATTGCTCCAAATTAGACCTTCACTAGGGTCTAATTTGAATACTTAGTGTGACTCCCTTTGTCCCATACTTCCTCAGATGTTGAGCCTATTCAGTTTTAAAGATCAGATCGAAAGTGATGAGATTGGCAGAAAAATGTGTTTGAACTTCGGTGGCTTTTGGTTTTTTGCTTTTACTTTCTATGTAATGATTTAAAGTTACTTAGCTTGAAATTAAATTTTATCAGACTACCAACATGTTATTTAATCACTGAATAAACACATTTATTGAAAACCTATACTATTGTATAGGCACCATGCAAGGTAAGGTAGTTACATGGGTGAGCAGACCAGCATGGGAAGTTCTGTCCTCTTGGAACTTAAGATCTAATGAAAATAGCTGGGAGACAGTAGGAGCAGGTATTGGGCCTCTGTAGCTCATAACCAGCCCCTTAAAACTGGGCTGAGAAGGTTAATTGACTTTTAATGGGCAAGTACATGGCCCAGATACCTCATCCTGGCTCAGAGCTTTGGAAAACTGAATCTTTGCTGAGGTATGCTGAGAACAAATTGGTGTTCTTATGGTGGCCCTGCACATTTTGTAACTTTTGTCATAATTCCGTCTTTAATTCTTTTTAAGAAAAAGGAAAAAGAAACCGTAAAATGACATTAGGTTTTTACCATTTTAGTAAATAATCAACACCTAATTAATGCTCATAAAAATGGATCTAACCATGTTGTCATGTGTTTCTCCGAACTTCAGTTTGCAATATTATTTTCTTAAAACGTTTACATGCAAATTTAGACAAAGATTTATCACTAGAAGGAAAAAGTTAGAAACCATTAATATTATAGATGTTATATATGCTACCCTGGTAAAAATATTTTTAAAAATCATGTCATTCATGCTTGATAAATGTTGCCTCCAGCCGTCTATTTTTCAAAAATGTTTTTTTAAAAAAACAAAGCAGTTTTTGTTAGACTAAGATTGTTAATTTTTCACTAACACCAGTTGGTGGCACTAGAAACCTGAAATTTTCCAAGAATGAACGAGAAAAATAAGGAAGTCTGCAAACACGAGGAATCTTCAGGAAAATAAATGAAAATTGTATATAAAAGATGTATTTTTCTTCTGGAATGGAATTCTTTTTTCAAATGCACATGGCTGTCCATTTTGACTGCAGTGGTGAAACTTGTTTATCTCCCAGAGGGCGTATATAGACGTGTGTGTGTGCTCTGTACAGATAACATTTAATTTGATTACACTGTTCATTTTGTAAATGTTTCTGTATAAAAATGAAGCTTTTCAAGAGGATTCTGTGTATATATTGTACTTATTAAATAGGTAATGCCTGTTTACCCAGTTGTATTTTAATGACATCTTAAATTATTTCTTTACATACACCACTTGCTAAACAGACTGATTCTGCAGACTTTTGGCAAAGCTAATTCAAATTGCTTGAAGTTTACTTTTTAATTTAGACGGGGAATTTTTGCTTTCCATATTTGTCTTTATTCTATCAATATAATTAGAAGTCCGTGAACAATTATAAACAGATTAAGTTAAAAGTCAGGTAGTATTTTAAATTTTTGTTTAAATTATTATTATTATTTTTATTTTTTTTTTTTTTTTATTGAACGGTAACTATGTACATTAATGCACTTCTAGGGTACAGTGTGGGGTTTTCACATGCAATCTGAAATACTTCCATCAACTGGTCAACACAGCCTTCATGTCATTTTCTTAGTTATTGCTTTAAAACATTCACATTCTACTCTTAGAAAGATTCACCTGTACCCCTATAAGGTAAACCTCAGAAGTAATCCCTCCTAACTCCCTCCCTCCACCCATTCCCCACTCCCTTCACCCTAAATTATTATTTTGAGACAGAGTCTCAAGTTGTTGCTCTGTGTTGAGTGCTATGGCATCATAGCTCACAGCAAGTTCCCATAGCTCACAGCAAGTTCCAACTCTTGGGCTCAAGTCATCTTCTTGCCATAGTATTTTCTATTTAGTAGAGACAGGGTCTCACTTTTTGCTCAGGCTAGCCTCAAACTCGTGAGCTCAAGCAATCCACCCACCTTGGCACCCCGAGACTGCTAGGATTATAGGTGTGAGCCACTGAGCCCAGCCTGTATAAATTATTGATAGCAAAACTTAGCCTTTTGCAAAAGGCAAAGCCAGGGCCAGACATGGCGGTTCATGCCTGTAATCCTAGCCCTCTAGGAGGCTAACACAGGATGACTGCTTGTTGAGGCCCAAAGTCCAAGACCAGCCTGAGCAAGAGCGAAACCCATTTCTACAAAAAATACAAAATTAGCCAAATAAGGTGTTGTGTGCTCTCCTGTAGCCCCAGCTAATTGGGAGGCTGAAGTAGGAGAATTGCTTGAGCCCAGGAATTTGCGGTGGCAGTGAGCTATGGCGATGGGACACCACTACATCCTACCTAGCTCAAGTGACAGAATGAGACTCTGTCTTAAATAAAAGGGGGGAGTGGTAAGCTGATAGACATGTGACAATTTCTTATTGAATTTGATGAGCCAGTGATGTGTCCTAGGATCCATAAAACGGTGGGACTTGTCCAGGATATCTGATTTTAATAATAAAGAACCAAGTATATTCAGTAAGAAGGTACAAAAATGGCATTCATTTAATCACATTAGCACATGTGATGGTGTATATTGTATAACAAGGTGTTGGTTCCCAGTTCTCTAATGGTTCTGGTACATTTAAATTATGCCATGTAACTTAATGAGTTCAGCATTGGAAAGAATCCCCTGAAGTTAGGATCTGTTGAATAAAGGGAACATTAATAGAACAGAGAAAGCTTTCCTGACTTCCTTAGTAGTCAGCTTTCAGAAATATGAAGAATTGTTTGCAAGAGAAAGGAGTTTTTAGGGGAAGAGGGCAGATTGAGGGGATGCTGGCTTGTGGTTCTTAATTTAGCTCCATGTAGCAGGAGAATAGTAGCTTGAACTAGAGGTGGTAATTGTGAACAGAGGCTTTTAGTAGCTCCTTTATGTTCTTTTAACTGTGTCAGCATACCATACAGTCAGTATGACTGGAAGTCGTGAGATTGGAAGGCCATTCCAACAAATTGACCTAAGTCTGTTTTTTCTTAATAAAGTCAGCTTAAATTAATGAACACAGGATATGCTGTTTCTTCCCCTATATAGATGCTCTATTAATTATTCTTAAGAGATTTGATTCTTACATATATTTTTAAAAGTCAAAGTGGAGGGAAGCATGTATAAGAAGTATTTTATTGCTGAGGACTTTTGGGGGGGTGGGATTTGGCAAAAGGCCGGACTCT